TTATATAATAGTATTATATTTTCTATAGTATTATATATTTCTATTATATTTTCATTTAATTTCAGTTAACGTAATTAAGTGTCCAAGTACATTCAGTTCACACTTAAAGCTGCAGTGCGTAAGTTTTGCCTCTTTGTCACCATCTCTGTTTGAAACCTGCAATTGCAGTTATTTGCGGAATTATTTTCTTTACATGGGTTGTGCATCGGCACGGCTCCTCAGCGTGGATGAATCTAATGTTTTGAGCTGTATGTGTGGAAGTTTCACTGGAAAATGTCCTCTGAACAAGTAAGTAACATGTCTGCCAGTTTTGTTCTGACCAACGGAAAAAAAACAAAACAATAAATCACGATAAATTTACAATAAATCACGCTAACAGTGGTGATTAAATCTAATGAACACAAAGTAAGCTCAGATCACGTCAAACTGTGCAAATTATTATTATTGTTATACTTTGTTTTCAAATAGTTAATGTTAACAACATCAGCATTGCGTGACTACGTCTATTTAGTTTGTATTAGCGTTATCTATAGATTTCAATTTCTGTACAGTCTAATCTCTAATTGTCATACCATTTGAATGTTATCGAAATAAATTGTTCTTTTAACCTCAAAAAGACATTTAATGTTCCTTAGAACTCGTTCTCTTTGAAATACAAATCTTTTGTTAGTACAGTGAAATCCCACGTATCTGTAATCAGATCATTCAGATGCACATTTAAAATTGGAATATGTGTTTCAATACCATCATGCACCGTTTAAGACTCTATTCTCAAAATGACAAGTTTAATTATTCCAGCTGCTGTAAGAAGAGGCTCAAATGATCCGCCAGCTGCAGCATCCACACACGTGATAGAGCCTACTGACCGGGACTCCTTCTTTATGTATACAGACGTGACGTAATGGCGCAAAGCGAACGACCCGAACCACTCAAATTATAAAACATTATTACAAGCTTACCGTTGTGAAATGGGCTAAGTTAAGGAGACAGTTTTGAACACTGATTGGTTATATACTTGCTCAGTAATTGATTTTGGATAATTTTTAGCCAAAAAAAGTTATGTAATGCAGCTTTAAGTATGTTCTTTTAAAGTATATTATTTCAGTAAGTACTCTTTTTAAAAGGATGCTAAAGTGTACTTCTGTTTCATGAACACACTGCCGTTCTCATACCTAGACTGGAGTTGCCCTTGACCACAGTGATGGTCCTCTCGAAGCTGCTCCCCGCCGCTGCGTTTAGCTGCTGGGCCTCGTCTGCGGGTTCATCTGGAAGCAAATCCTCCTCCTGAGAGGAGAAAAGTCCAGAATCTTCATCAAAAACGACATCAAAGACTGAAGTCAAGGATACAGAGTGATGAAAGAGGTCAGCAGGATGAGGTGGGATTGTGAGGGTCGAATCAGGACGCAGGAATGATGGGAACAGACTAGCGATACTATGGGAAATTAGCCATAATATTTGAGTGATGCTTGACTGTAAAAAACTCACCACCACAGTGTCAGAGTTGGTCTGATGACTTTCCCTGTATTTACTATTACTAAGGCATTTTGAGTGGGTTCAACAGTTTGATGCCAGTAGTAGGCATAATTGCAATTGTGGTGATACAATTTAAAATGTTATTATTATTATTACTAAAAATATTAAAATGAGAAATATTGCAATTGTATAATTTCATTGTAAAATAAAAAACAAGTATTTAATAATAATAATAATAATAATAAATACACTGTGAAATAAAAATAAAGAAAATTAATATTGTTGTTATTAATATTATTACTACTATTATTATTATCATAATAAATAATACTATTTGATAACAAAATAGTAAATATTGCCATTGTAATAATTTACTGAAAAATGAAAGCTGAATATTTAATAATTATGAAGATGATGATATTTATTATTATTATTCCTAAAAATATTAAACAATATAAGAAACACCATTATTGTAATATTTAACTGTAAAATAAAAAAATCAAGTATTTAAGAAAATTATTATTATTATTATTATTATATTTTTTTTTTTTACAAAATTGAAAAAATAAATGCTATTGTAATATTTAACTATAACATAAGTCAAGTGTTTAATACTACTAATAAAAATAATACATTTTATTTTTTAAGTACAACTGTGTACTATGATTCCAATATTTAGCTGGCTTAAAAGTGAAACCATCAAGTTTTAAAAGCCGTTGAAGCCTCTCTCTCTTGAAGCAGCTGGTTTATAAGCGCTTCTCATTACATGTGTAAGAAGATGGTTGGCATGTTTTGCGTTCCTAAATTCACATTTTAATTGACCCAAACTCACAATTTGATATTACATTAACACCATTTAATAGATTGCAAATGGGACAAATTGCAACTTCATCAATACAAATGTGTAATTACAAATTTATTATTTATTTATGACATGCAAGTTTCAATAGAAACAACATTAAAGTATATTTTAGTTGATCCTAAATGCTTGTCAGTACATCCAGCAGTACTTTATATTTATTTCAAAGACAAGAGAAGTGATTAATAAATTACATATTGTTATGTCCCAAGGAGTAATTACTATTATTTATTTTGCTGCTGACTGGGTAGATACAGTTTGCATTGTGGCAGTGTTGTGGTGTTTGTTCTCTCTCTCTCTCTCCCCTCCACTCCATGCAAAGCTTAATGAAGATCAGCTGATCCTAGTTGTCATCAACTACTGGCTTGCTCTGATTGGCTGCTGGAGGGTGAGCTGAGACTGTTTTCTCCTGTCCCAGACATTAGCAAGTGTGCTAGTAGTTGCCTGTGTGCCTTCTTGTTGTTAGTGTAACTCTCGGAGGGATTGGCATGGTAATGCAAGCAGTTAGTTGCCGACTCTGTTTACCTTCGGTGTGGAGGCGGGTCTGTTCTTCTGATAGGTCAGATCAGCGCTGCAGATACTGCCATGCTCAGCGATCATCGACTGCAGCATCTCGTCCTCCTCCTCCAGAAAATGAAGCTCAAAAGCCTTTTCATCAGACAGGTCTAAATCACTAGAGTCAATCTGGAAGAGATGTTATGTAGATGAGAACGATAATAACATCAGAGAATGATCGTTTTTTCTAAAGGCCACAATAAATGTGCTGCACTTCAAATAGTTTGTTAGGATAACCCCCAAAAAATCATCAGGGACTTTTTAACTTTTTTCAATGATGCCATGTGTGTCTTGCTAAGCTTGGACTAAAATGTTCATTTTTTCATCCAAAAAACAGTATCTGTCTCCTATAAGCGCTGATATATCATTGCTCCTACAGAACATTGCACTACTAACATGCTTTGCACAGGAATGCATTGGTTGTGTTTTAGGAGCACTGACCACTGCAGGTTCAGCGCGGAACACAGCTTCATCCTCCTCATCACCATCACAGCCCTCCGTCAGCAGCAGAGCCGAGATGAAGGAGGAAGAGCCATCCTCATCCCCAGTCTGTGAAGACAGGGTGACCATTCATTCTCTGGTGATGAGCAGATCACACTAAGCTTGGGCGTTACAACCAGAATGAGTAACTGTATAACATGGTAACTGTATATATTCTTATATACTTATAAAAGCTTGAGGTTAGTAAGATGATTTTAAGGAATATAATACTTTTATTGCATTAAATTGATCATAAGTGATAGTAAAGATATTTATAATGTTACAAAAGAAAAAAAATGTTCTTTTGAACTTTCTATCCATCAAAGTATCCTGAAAATTAAATTATATCAGTTTCCACAAAAATATTTGGCAGCACAACTGTTATCAACATTGATAATAATCAGAAATGTTTCTTGAGCAGCAAATCAGCATATTAGAATGATTTCTGTAGATCATGTGACACTGAAGACTGGAGTAATGATGCTGAAAATTCAGCTTTGATCACAGGAATAAATTATATTTGAACATATATTCACATAGAAAACAGTTACTTTAAATTGTAATCATATTTCACAATATTACTGTTTCACTGGATCATTAATCAAATAAATGAAGAATTAAATGAGGATAAATTAGGTTCTTTGGTGAGGATATAAGACTTCTTTAAAAAAAACATTTCTTTTAAAATGTTGACTTTTTTTTTTTTTTTTGGAAAATCATTTTATGTTAAACAACTATGTAAATATCCTTTAATTCATTTGCTTTTTTGAGTTCCATAAAAATAAATAAATTAATTAATTTAATAAATAAATGCCAGCACCAGTAAATATTGGGGGGAGTTTAAATTTTTGGGTGAATTATTCCTTTAATTGCATTTTCTTTGTTAAATTTAAAGTAATACATATTAATTGATTTAAATTTGTTGGAATCACTCGTTATTCAGTTTGTTGAAATGTATAAACAGTAACATAAACATCTTGAATTTTTTGAGACAAGCCTACTCTGTATTTTCACATTGTTCTTTGTTATTATGATGCTTTATGCAATAATGTAAAGCAGTCCTGCATACTGATGCCGTGCAGATATATATTTACTGTGCTACGGCAGAATCTCATTTCATCATAACACCCAGCCCAAGATCACAATAAAACACTAAATTTGATTTGGTTAGAAATAATTTTGCATGTTAGTAGTGCAAGGTTGGTTAGCGAGCTGAATCGTTTGGATGCTTTATGCAATAATGTAAAGCAGTCCTGCATACTGATGCCGTGCAGATATATATTTACTGTGCTACGGCAGAATCTCATTTCATCATAACACCCAGCCCAAGATCACAATAAAACACTGAATTTGATTTGGTTAGAAATAATTTTGCATGTTAGTAGTGCAAGGTTGGTCAGCGAGCTGAATCGTTTGTTTGTCGATTTCAGCACCATTAAAATTGATGATCACATCGAAGATTTGACGTGCAAAGGTAAATAAGAAGAAATGCTTTCTCCGTTTTCACTCCGCTTCTTGGAAGTGAATCATTTGAACCATATTAAGAGGTGATGTTACCCTATCGCACTTGAGAGAGCAGAACAAAAGCATTCGGCACGCTCATGCAGTCTAAAGGCCTCTCGTGAGATTAAATCTTCAGACAAAAAAGGCCTGATCAGATGACCCACAGTGCACTTGACAACCCAACACACACGCTCCAAACCTCAAGGCCTCGGAGGAGAAAAAGAAGGAAAGATGCCAAAATGTGCACACAATCCCAGAATAATGGATCCGAGATAACAGCCTTGGAAAGCTGAAGAGGTTAAGATAAACTACAGCCCCTGAGAGCTCTTCACAAAGATACAGACCCGCTCCTCCAAGAAGATTTCATTCCCTGAGGCCTTTAAAAGTCTACAGACCCGCATCATGAAATATTCAAAGAACCTGCGAAAGGAATCCCGTTACTGCAGCCATGGGTTTCAATAACACAAATCGTACAGAGAAAAAAGCTGCTTTAGAAAGTAGAGGATAGTATTTCTTACAGGCAGTGGTTTGGCCACCCCGATGTTTACGGCGCCCATGTTTGCTCCCTTAAGAGCCTGCACTGCTTCTTCCAAACTGGCGCTCTCCAGGTTGATGTTGTTGACATACATGAGACGGTCTCCTGGCAACAAGCGTCCGTCTCGCTCCGCTATGCCGTCAGGAACTAACGACCTAATCACAATCACCGTCTTGAGTGGGTCCATTGGGTCCTGTACACATATGAACACACACACACACACACACACACGCATAACATTAACATTATCGAGTATAACATTAACATTATCGGTTTCACTTTATTTCAGTAGGCCTCTTTAGACATTCTAGTAGCTATAAGTAACTTTACAACTACATGTCAACTAACTCATGTTAATTTGCATCTACATGTTGACTAACTCGCATTATTTTGCAACTACATGTCAACTAACTTCCATTAATTTGCAACTACATGTCAACTAACTCCCATTAATTTGCAACTACATGTCAAATAACTTCCATTAATTTGCAACTACATGTCAACTAAATCCTATTAATTTGCAACAACATCAACTAACTCCCATTATTTTGCAACTACATGTCAACAAACTTCCATTAATTTGCAACTACATGTAAACTAACTTCCCATTAATTTGCAACTACGTCAACTAACTCACATTATTTTGCAACTACATGTCAACTAACTCCGATTAATTTGCAACTACATGTCAACTAACTCCCGTTAATTTGTAACTACATGTCAACTAACTCCCATTAATTTGCAACTACATGTCAAATAACTTCCATTAATTTGCAACTACATGTCAACTAAATCCTATTAATTTGCAACAACATCAACTAACTCCCATTATTTTGCAACTACATGTCAACAAACTTCCATTAATTTGCAACTACATGTAAACTAACTTCCCATTAATTTGCAACTACATGTCAACTAACTCACATTATTTTGCAACTACGTCAACTAACTCCGATTAATTTGCAACTACATGTCAACTAACTCCCATTAATTTGTAACTACATGTCAACTAACTCCCATTGATTTGCAACTACGTGTCAACTTACTCGTGTTAATTTACAACTGCAAGTCGAATAACTTGTTAATTTGCAACTACATGTCAACTAAGTCCCATTAATTTGCAACGACATGTCGACTAACTCACATTATTTTGCAACTACATGTAAACTAACTCACATTATTTTGCAACTACATGTCAACTAACTCACATTCATTTGCAACGACATGTCAATTTACTCGTGTTAATTTGCAACTGAATGTCGACTAACTTGTGTTAATTTGCAACTGAATGTCGACTAACTTGCGTTAATTTGCATCTACATGTCAACTAACTCCCATTGATTTGCAACTACATGTCAACTTACTCGTGTTAATTTGCAACTGCAAGTCGAATAACTTGCGTTAATTTGCAACTACATGTCAACTAAGTCTCATTAATTTGCAATGACATGTCAACTAACTCCCATTAATTTGAAACAACGTCAACTAACTCAACTGAATGTCGACTAACTTGTGTTAATTTGCAACTGAATGTCGACTAACTTGCGTTAATTTGCATCTACATGTCAACTAACTCCCATTGATTTGCAACTACATGTCAACTTACTCATGTTAATTTGCAACTGCAAGTCGAATAACTTGCGTTAATTTGCAACTACATGTCAACTAAGTCTCATTAATTTGCAACGACATGTCAACTAACTCCCATTAATTTGAAACTACGTGAACTAACTCCTTTTAATTTGCAACTACATGTTGACTAACTCACATTATTTTGCAACCACGTCAACTAACTCACATTATTTTGCAACTACATGTCAACTAACTCCCATTGATTTGCAACTACATGTCAACTTACTCGTGTTAATTTGCAACTGAATGTCGACTAACTTGCGTTAATTTGCAACTACATGTCAACTAAGTCCCGTTAATTTGCAACGGCATGTCAACTAACTCCCATTCATTTGCACTTACATGTCAAATAACTCCCATTTAATACATTTTTAAAGATTTTCAATACTTCAATTCAATAAAATTAAGCACACTTCTTTTTCACAAGAGAATGGCTGCCATAATATAATATACAGACAATAAACGGATAACACATTAATATTGCATTATCCTCTCTTTTTGTACACAACAACAAACATACAGCACGACAAGTGTAGTCTGATTCACAAACAGATGATTTTCATAACCCAGTTCTTTCAATCAGTAAAAAAGACACACAATTCAATCTCAAACTCATGAGTTACTGCTTTGAATTTGACGTGTGAGACATAAATCAGTGAAAAATAAATAAATAAAGGGCTCCTCCCATTCTCATGTGATGGTCTAAATTTAGGAAGGTCCTCCCACTCTCCCACCTGATAATCCAGAATGCTGAAGCCCAGTCCGCTCTCTCCTTTCTCGAGTTCGATGTCCTGAATCTCCGTTTCCCACATCGCTAACGGCGTTCCAGTGGGCTCTTCAGTCACATGATCTTTCAGGCTGTCCTCTGATTCGCCAGAGACCAGGAAATCCTCAAACTCACCCGGCACCTACACAAACAAGATGAACACAAACTTTCTTTCTAATAAAATCCTTAATAATGGTTCAGAATCATAAAACATCACCTTAATCTAGCATATCTAAAAGGGTGGATGCAAAACGCAGAGCTTTTATTGATAGCTAAACTGTGTCAGGCATTTAGGCATGAAGGTCTGCCCTCTGAGAGTGACTCGAGATGTACAGAGATTATAACGTGCACTGTAATCTGATATAATCCCAACAAAGAGCCTTGGTGAACATTTACATGCTTTGCAGCAATTGGAATTGTCCAATATATATGATAAAAAGTAATAAAGTATGTATTTATACTATATATTTATATTTTTAAAAATACAATTGATATATGAATATGCCTGCTGTCTTGTTCGTATTGCTAGAAATTATTTAAAGAAATATGACACATACACACTCAGAATAGGACCAAATTCCAATATTAATTAGATTTTTGATGCATATTGGTGGTGGGTTGTTTGCGATGGATGTGTTTTACCTCTAGCAGTTCGTCTCCACTACAGATTTTTCCCGATCGCCCGACGGGTCCCTCAGGAAGCACTGAGCGGAGGATGTGACGGCCGGCACACACATCCAGACTGATCCCTAAACCGCTGTTCTCACTGATCTTCTCCACTTGAGCCACCTGAACACGCATTAACAGAATCACAGCATCACAAACTTTAGAAGTCCCTCATTCACTTGCTGTAGCGTGAAACACGTGTGTCATCTGCTTCAAACCAATTCAGTCTGTTCACTCCACACATACAAACAGATTTTGATGTTAGTAGTAATAAATATCAGATTAGTTTATCATAAATGCTTGTCAGTACATTCAGCAGTACTTTAACTATATTTCAGACAATAGAAGTCATTATGAAATTACATATAAAGATGTACCTATTTAAGTCCTGTTTAAGTTCAATCTTAAGTTCAACTAACTGCATTTAAAATGATTTTAAACTACGATACATTTTTATTTAATTGCAGTTAACATGCAAATCAGTATCTAAAAATATTGCATTCGGTATGCACTTTTATGTATATTCTTTTAAAGTATATTATTTCTGTAATAAATACTTTTTTTAAAAGTTTGCACAAGTTGGATTGGTTTTGTTTTAGTGTGTGATCGCGTGAATTTTTGTGTGTGTGATGGTAATAACATTATTCACTTTTCTGCAAAAACGTTGGGTAAGCCTTAGCCTTGCTAACACAACAAGCCAGCTGGCAGAGCTTTAACTCTGCATCTATAAAAAAGAGAAAGAAATGAACTGTTTCTGAATTAAATTTCACATGTGCTGACCTCTACATATAATAATCAGTCACATTTCTGATCTTTGAACTTTTTGAACATTAAAGCATGTCAACATATTCTGTTACACCAAATACACAAAATAATGATCTTTAAAAAAGCATCATATGACCCCTTTAAGTTTAACTAACTGCATTTAAAATGATTTTAAACTATGATACATTTTCATTTAATTGCAGTTAACATGCAAATAAGTGTCTGAAAATATTGCATTCGGTATGCACTTTTATGTATATTCTTTTAAAGTATATTATTTCTGTAATAAATACTCTTTTTAAAAGTTTGCAAAAGTTGGATTGGTTTTGTTTTAGTGTGTGATCGCGTGAATTTTTGTGTGTGTGATGGTAATAACATTATTCACTTTTCTGCAAAAACGTTGGGTAAGCCTTAGCCTTGCTAACACAACAAGCCAGCTGGCAGAGCTTTAACTCTGCATCTATAAAAAAGAGACAGAAATGAACTGTTTCTGAATTAAATTTCACATGTGACACACACACACACACACACACACACAAAAGGCCCTTGGATTTTCTCAAACGTGCAGAACACAACACTGTAAGGAATATCGTATTCCACAATGTAGAAGAAATGACGTGTGATTTTTCCGATGTCTCTTTTGCATCATTATGTGAGCAGACTGCTAAAGTTATTTTTGCACTTAATCACACAAAATGAATGCAAAATAACTGTTCTAACTAGTTCCAGGTTGATAACTGAACACTCACATGTGATTAAATGTGATGAGGTCATGTGACCGTACAGAATACAGTTTGAGCCTTTTGTTGTGGAACGATGCCTAATGTTTCACGCAGTGTTATTATTGTTAACCAAAACTAAAATCATTGAAAATAATTTTTTGTTAATTGAAATAAAGCTAAAATAAAATAAAATGTAAATATTAAATGTAAATATTACAAGAAATCAGTTTAAGCATTAAAAATGCTAAAAATAAAATAAAACAAAAATAAAATAAAGCTAAATAGAAATATAAAAAAACTAATACAAATTACAAAAGCACATAACAAAATTACTCAAATTAAATTAAAAATGAAAAGTGAAAATCTAAAAATAAAAGTTAATCCGATTCCTATAAAATATTACTAAAATAACAATGGTTTCACTGACTAAATTTAATAAATTTAATACTTTTTTTAAGACCACCAAAAAGGGAATGTGTAATGCAGATCATATTATTATTATTATTATTATTATCTTTTTTATCTACTGTATATATGTTAAGCAGTCCATACGTATATATAGCTGATAGAGATAGCATAGTCAATTAAATTCAAGTTTATTTGTATAGCGCTTTTCACAATACACATCGTTGCAAAGCAACTTTACAGAAAAATACGTTTCTACAATATATTTAGTAGACTTGAGGTATGAAATAAAAATACTATATAAAATACAAAAATAAAAATACTATATAATATTTGGGCAGTCACATACACTTGAAAAGCTTTACAGTTTCTATTGTTTTTATAGGTTTTGTGTTTTCATGTTTGAAAAGATTTTAAAGTACACTGTGAGATCAGTATTACAAAAAGGGTTTCTTTTGAGTTATTCTTGTCTTGTGAATATTGCATATTGCATTAATGAGATTAATTAATAACATCAATATGGAGACCAGTGTAGGAGTTATAGTTCTGAGGCAAAACAAAGGTTTTTGATATATATACAAAATATTAAGTCAATAAAGTGTGGGTTAAGTTTTTGTATCACTTAATTGGCATTGAGCTCAGTGTTTGCATGTTTTTGTCTCAGTTTCTTTACTTTCACGATTCACACTGAAGCACACGGCTCATGCAGATTATATATTTCTTTCATTAAATTGCAGTCTTTTGCAGTCCAATAATCACATTAGGTCATATTGCGGTGTAGATTTGATTGCACAGACTTACTACTTACTACTTACTTATTAGCTACTTAAAAATTCGTCAAACCATTTCATGGAGCGTTTAAACAGACGTGAGCGACTGCTGTATGCGGCTGCATTCAGACTGCTGTGAGTTTGTTACCGTGCTCGGTGTTCGTTCGCTCCATTGTTGAGTTTTGTGATGCGCTGAGGGCGGGTGTGGTCTCCACGGCGACAGGTATGATTGACGGGCACATGTCCTCCAGTTTAAAGCCGCGTCGGACGAGCTTCAGATATATATATATATATATATATATATATATTTATATGGGGCATTTTCACGAACAGAATGATGGGATGTCATTCATTTTTGATGACCAAGAATTTAGTTTTTGTTTTTGTTATATCACATTTTTAATGTGGATGTTAATTGGCAGGTAAATATAACCAAAAATATACAGTATTTATGTACAGTTCTGAATATGTGAAATAAAAAAACGATAAAAATATAAAGTGCACTTAAATTAAATTAAAATAAAATAAAAAAACCTAAAGTAAATAAAAATACTATATATTATTTGGGCAGTTACATACACTTGAAAAGCTTTACAGTTTCTATTGTTTTTATATGTTTTGTGTTTTCATGTTTGAAAAGATTTTAAAGTGACTTTTACACTGTGAGATCAGTATTACAAAAAGGGTTTCTTTTGAGTTATTCTTGTCTTTTGAATATAAAACATGGTCAAAATAATTTACAAAATTAAAATATATATATGTGTATATGTGTGTATTATTAATGTTTTTAAGAAAAATGTGAAACAAAAATGAGAAAACAAATGTCATAAGGTTCTCAATTTTGAGTTTTGTTAATATTTTTTAATCATGTCCATTTTTAAATCAATCCAAAATGAAATAGTAAAAGGACAATTAAAAAAATAAATGTAAATATTGTCAATTGATTTGTTGCAAAAATGACTGAGAAAAGTTTAACTTTATGCAAATGATTAGCGACTCGATGTGGAACCCATCAATGAGACTAAAGTCAGTAAAGATCATGTTTTCTGTCTTCTTTTGTTGAAATTCAGAGAAAAAATAACCACTTTGTGATAAATAACTTATATATTTAATTTCTCTTCTCATACCGTTATTTTGCAGACCCATAACACATATTTACACATGCACAATAACAATAACAGAAACACTTTCACCTGTCAGCATAAAAGCCTTTTGATTCTGATAAGCACTGCAACACAAAACATGCATAAACAAGAGTCTTCTCTAACACTTTCTTTGTGAAATAACTCACAGCTATGATCTGATCCCCGACATGAATTCGGCCATCTTGCTCCACCGTGCTGTCCCTCGAAATGCTCTTCACGAATATCCCAGAGGGTTCTGCGACAGGAAATTACAGTAAGCAAAGGTTAAACGCTGCCTAAAATGAAGCACGCTAGAATGAGAATACGCTTTCGAGCTGAAATCTGCCCAGAGTGAGAAAGAGAAATAGAAAACATCAAGCCCAGGTCTGTCAGGAAAAGAAACAGGTTAGAATGCTACATGAAGGCTTTTACATATTTATTTAATTGTAATTAACATGCAATTAAGTGTCTGAAAACATTACATTTAGTTCACACTTAAGTATATATTATTTCTGTAATAAGTACTGTTTTTTTAACATGCTAAAGTGTATCACAAGGCACTACTTACTAAAATAAAGCAAAGTTTATTTATACAACACACCTTACAGACAATTTTGTGACACATCTATATCCAGCAAATAATAACACTAAATACATATTCAACAAGCCGCATTTGATGCATCCACAGCACAAACACTTGCATGCTAAAGTTTAAGACTTAGGATCTGCACTGTAAAAAAATTAGTGTAATTTTAACTGTAAAATACTGTAAAAACGCTACAGAAATTTTTTTTTTAATATGTTAACAGTAAGTTCCCGTACTATATACAGGGAAAAACTGTAAAATATCTAACCAGACATTTCATGTAATTTTACAGCAAAATGCTGTTAATTGTACAATTTTTAGAGGTAAAAAAGAACAAATCAACGTATAATTTACAGTAAAAAAATGTAAACTGATATTCCCAGTGTTGCCTGCGTGACACTCAACATTTGAAAGTCTTTTGTTTAAATAAACATGTTTCTTAATAGTTTTGTCATGTTTGTTATCAGTTATGTACATGTGGGTTTATGTTCCTATGTTACCATGATGGTGTTTAGTGTTTGCGTGAATGACTCTGCGCTAGGGTTGTGACAGTGAGGAAATTTTCCCATCGGTTAATCGACGTGTGACAACACGGATAATACCGGTATCAACACGGGGGCGGGGCGTTCTCTCTTTTCCTCGCTTTCCTTCACTTTTAAATAGCTTGCAAAAGCGGCGTGCACATTTTACTTTCACTTTCAAATAGCGGCAATTTAGTAAAGCGGTCAAATAGTAAAGCAATTGTTCATTTTTAGTTTGTTTAAATTTTCCCTTTTTTCCTCGCTTTCCTTCACTTTTAAATAGCTTAAATCACCGTGCGCATTTTACTTTCACGAATTAGAGACAATTCGGCGTCAATTGCTTGAATGCAACAACAAAATACAACGTCAAACTCACTTTAGCCTATAT